TACCTTACAGTTGACTTATTTATTAATTTTATTTATTTATTTTTTGTTAAGATCATCTATTTACATTGACCATTTTTTATTTAAAATTGTGCTACCAGGATTAGTAACATTTTCCATGCAAATTATTTATTTTATATTGTAGGTCAGGTTGTTTTATGTTGTAGCTCAAGTTGTTTCATATTGTAGCTCAAGTTGTTTTATATTGTCAAATTGTTTTATATTGTAGGTCAAGTTTCTTTTTAATAAGAACCAAACTAGTGCATATTACTCACTTTTATATTTTGTCCTGCATCAGGTTTACATTTTTTTTTAAATGACATGTAAAATGCACATTCTGCAAGTTAAGTATATTTGAAAATTTTTTACGGCTGATTATTTTGTTATGGATTTTATGAAGGAGATGCCAGAAGAAATATAATTCTATTTTTGGTGCTTATAGAAACAGAAAAAGTCGTAGTATAGAAATTTGGGAAGGCCGTTCTTAGCTCTCGAAAAAAAAAAAAACTTGAATGAATGAACATCATGTAATTCTTGGTATAGCATGCTTATTTTTCCATCATTTCTGTAATATTTAGGAGTTTAGATGTAAGCTAAGATTTCCAAATTAATTAGCATTTAAGTGATGTTACATATGTAAAACATCTCCTCACAAATATACTGAGGCATTCGCAAACTGTAATTAAAGATGAAGACAAGGATAAAGCTTTTCCAGTGATTGGATGCAGTGCTGTAGTTTTTTTTGGCTGACACTTTTTGTACTGTTTATATTTTGTTTGGCATGTGAGTTTGAGTGACTAGATGTATTTTAGTCAGAAAGTGTTTTGGGTACTGGCATCTTCTGAAGTTATTCAGGGACAATTTGCACCTGTGCATGTATATGTCAGCATTCCCATTCCTTAGGTTTATTATTTTTTTTATGTTCCCTAGATACACATTTATTTAGATTTGGTAATAAGTGAGTTGCAGCCATAGGCCTAAATGTTTCTCTTAAATAGTTTTTTAATACAGAGTTGCCGTTCTTGTACAAATAGTTGGAATGTATGTGGTATATGTAATGGATAGAGATATATATTCAGCGTAAAAGTCAAGAAGATTTAAATCCATATTTTTCCTTTTACAAAAAGTATCTAGAATTTTAAATAATGTCATTATTTGGGATAAAATTACTGAGATGGTATTAACATTATAAACATAACTTACACATATATGTATAAATATGCACATAATATATGTAATATTATATATATATCTCTATATATATGAGAGAGAGAAAAATAAAAAATAACTATATATATCTATATATATATCTATATATAAATAATATATATAATGAAACTTATGGTCTTCCTTTTGCATGATGATGATATATATATATATATATATATATATATATATATTCGTATGGTCTTCCTTATGCATGACATTTTGTTGTGTTAATTTAAAAAAACTCCTTTTTATTTATTTTTTGGGGGCTTCCAAGTGCAACATCACATCCTATAATGATCTGAGCGTATTTGCCAAGTTATGAATATATGACAAGGTGTTATAAATGGCTTTAAACTTTCTGGCAGGTCTTGTGTTTATATATCATTTACAATTGTTTTTTTTTTTGTGTTTGATACATTTTCCCCTGCAAAATATAGTTTTTGATCAAAATGACTTTGGTAGTTATTTTTAAATTTTTATGGTTTAACTCATTGTAGATTATTTCAATTAAGTTAAGTAGAGAATTAAGGTTTAATCCAAACATTAATTTTGCTTCCAGAAATTTATCCCGCTATTCTGTTTTATGTTGTAATCTTAGTGTCCCCTTTGAAAGTTAAACTTGATTATGACCTTTTGAAAACTAGACTGCTTTTGAATTGTTTGGTAGCCTTGTGGAAATTAAAATTTTAGGTGAGTGCATTTGTAAATATTTGCATTTATACCTAAAATTATACTCCATGTAGGTTTCCAAATCTGATATGAATTAAGAAATATATATATTTTTAGTGAAGGAAAAAGTAAAAGATCTGTACATATGCTACAACAGAAAATGAACATTTGAGTTTAGAAAAGAAAGTTGATATCGGCAAATATATGTTTTTTCTTAATATGGTGAATATTTAGACTTGCAGAGAATAATTGGAAGTATGGTCACAGACATTTGCCATCAGCCAGTTTGGCAGAAGGGCCTATAAACTTTCACATTAGTTCTCCATCTCAGATAAGTTTTACCAGATCCATTTCTTTGGCAAGTAGTACTTAAGAGAAGGATTCATAAGCCGAACGATCCCGCCAATGATGTATAACATAGGTAAGCATGCCAAACTTTGCAGCATACAATGCACTTGCTTTCCCAACTTTTATTGAGGACATCCAGGTAAGTATAACAACAGTTCACTGTAAGCCTTCTATACATTTCGGGAGCCGCAAACCTTTTACAAATAGAAAAAAAAAATCTCTTGCAAAATTCTCTTACAATATATATAAACACACACACATAATTATTATTATTATTACACAGGATATATATATATATATATATATATATATATATATATATATAAAAATATATATCTTTCAAAATTATGGAATGCACACACACAGTTTTTTCTGAGTCTAATTTTATATATATATATATATATATATATATATATATACACATACACACACACACATTAACATGGTGCATAACCTTTGCTTTTTATAGATTTTTATATTAAATTGGGACCGTAAAGGTTGAGTAAGAAAGAAGGTAGATCTGTTGATTACGTGGAATACTGTTCCCTTCCCACACTAAGAACAGATTGTATTTTAACTCCTTCTCTGGTCTACTCATGAGTACAACAGAGATAGAGTGGCTTGATTTTATGTAAAAAATATTATTCTGTTGCATGATTTTTTCCACATTCCCTTGATATGTGGTGTCATGTAATTTTGATGTGTATGTTGTTTATGTATATTCATTAATTCATATATTCATTCTAAACAAGTACAACAGCTATCCCAATATTCTTATTTTACCAGTCACAGTATTTAGAACTTTATTGATTATGTGACAGCTAATAATTGTGAAGTTAAAAAAATCTTTTCACCATGTGGTTATTCACTGTGTCCAGTAGTATGGAATTAATACTCTTACACTGTACTTTTTCAGTCAGTAAAATGAGAGGTAAACATTTTGCCTTTTAAATTCAGCTTCATACTTTCACAGCAGATTCTTAATTTCAACAATGGCAAAGTATGTTTGCTTTTTGGGGAGAGGTGACTATGAAAGAAACACCCTTTAATCCATTCATGAAACATTTGCTTATTTACTGACTTGTTAGTAATACTTTTGTAGCTTAGCCATCTATGGAAGTCTATTCTGTAATATTTAAACACAATAGCTTCGTTTTACTTAACATAAACATTAGATTTACAACATAGGTTTTGATTGGAGCTGATTTAATACAAGAGGACTTGCCATAGGTATTTCATTGAAGACAGGGCTTGGGTGAAACAACATTCATGGTGGATCAGCCCCATACTGTATTAAACTGTAGCTATCTTCATGGTGGATCAGCCCCATACTATATTAAACTGTAGCTATCTTCATGCAAAGCCCTGCTTCATGTTTATTCCCCGTTTGAACTTTACTTAATAAGACACTTATGTATCTGTACAGCCAAAAAAAAAACTTTTGGGGCATTGCATGATGTCAATTAAGCTTAGCAATGTTAAATTGTCGGAGTTTTTGTGTTCAAAATGAAAAAACTGCATAGTTTGCACAAATCTGTGTTTGACCAGTGGACTCGTAATGTCACCATTCACAGGAGCATGGTGAATGTCAGCTGCGTGCCAAGTTGCTGTTTTTCATTGTCTACGTGTGGTAGATTATGAACGGATGCACAGTCGAAGGGGAGGCACAGATATATTTTGTGCAAATGCTCTTCTGGCACTGAAACATGGGGGAGACTAGTGCTGCCTCTATACGCCGTATACTCTTATCGGACAGCTCTGCAAGATATTATGTAGGTTGAAGTTAGAGGCCTGAAGAAATTAGGGTAGAAAGTCCTCATGGCTCGAGCTGTTCCAGCAGCTATATTTTATACATGTCATTTCAATAAAATCTAGGCTTGCACTTTGATAGTTTCAGGGCAAAGTTTAGAATTAAATTAGCAAGGAGTCAAATAGTGTTAATAGATTTCCTATCCCTACTGGAAGCCTTTCTACTCATAACAAGTACATCACTTTAATTCTGTCCCATAGGAGCAAGAAGTAATATTATCTTACCAATTAGCTTGGGTTATTAGCAATGTAGAGACCTTGATTGTTTCTGTAGGTATTCTTTTTTATCTGTAGAAGATAATAATGAAATAGTGAAGTAAATAATTTGGAGAATTTAAATATATACCTATGAAAGTCAGCTGTTTCCACACTATTGCCTCCATAAGACCCATTTGGCTTGTTACACCATTGGAATGGTAATGCCTTAGTGCAGGATTGCCTGTCTGCTCAGATTAGAAAATGGATCAAGCTTAATAGCGCATGCTCCTTGTACCATTAGCAGACTCTTGCTGAGAGCATGCTCTGAAAGCGGGAATTGAGTGGTATTGCACAGAGCTTGTAGCTCTGCTTTGTTTCCCTGTGCCACCAAGAGGAGAAATGAACTGTGGCATCTGCTGCTGTCTCCTGAACATCTCTGCATCCTGTTTTTTTTTAACTGTGTAGTGTTCTTTGTGGATGAAAAAACGATACAAGCATGCAATAATGGTACTTCATGGTGTCAGCAAAATGAACAGGCTGGATAGAAAGATTTATACGCTAGGCTGGGTGTAGTGCTGGGTCACATTTAAAGTTTATTCTGCTTCAAAGACATTAGTACTTTGAACATCAATATATTTATGTTTCAATCCACCTTGCAACTGTGTATATATAGGTCCATTCAAAAGAAAAGATGTCACCGTTTTTATTTTGTTTCGTTACATAAAAATCCAATTGCCATTGTTTAACTATATTTACATCTCTTCCTGTAGGATGAGTTCCATCCATTCATTGAGGCTCTTCTTCCACATGTCCGTGCAATTGCCTATACATGGTTCAACCTCCAAGCCCGTAAACGCAAGTACTTCAAAAAACACGAAAAACGAATGTCGAAAGATGAGGAGAGGGCAGTCAAGGATGAGCTTTTGAGCGAGAAGCCAGAAATCAAGCAGAAATGGGCGTCCAGGCTGCTAGCCAAGCTACGCAAAGACATCCGCCAGGAGTACCGGGAGGATTTTGTGCTCACCGTGACTGGGAAGAAGCACCCCTGCTGTGTACTATCAAACCCAGACCAGAAAGGCAAGATCCGGAGGATCGATTGCCTGCGACAGGCCGACAAAGTCTGGCGTCTGGATCTGGTCATGGTCATCCTTTTTAAAGGTATCCCCCTGGAAAGTACGGACGGGGAACGGCTCGTCAAATCACCGCACTGCACAAACCCAGCACTTTGCGTCCAGCCACATCATATAACTGTATCGGTCAAGGAACTTGATTTGTTCTTGGCGTATTATGTACAGGACCAAGGTAAGAGTCAGTAGTAATGTTGGTCTGCCAACTATAATTATTTAAAAAAAAGTTTTTTTCAATGCAGAAATATTACGTATACACAACTTTTTTTAGTTTACAGAAGTAGTATGAGTGTGTATTAAAATGTAGGTCCATATAGATGTATAGAGCGCCATAAAGAATGAAGACTGAGTTGAAGCTTCAACTTGTAAGCATGGGCCAAATATATGTTTTGAAATATTGTACCTGTGTGTTATCACTGAGAGAGGAGATGTCTCCTAGAAAAGCAGTTACTTACCAGTATGTTATAAAATCCAGTATTCTTATGTGAATAACTAGTGGTGTCCTATTTTAAAATTGCGTTTTATTCTGCCTCTAATGTTGGACCTTGCACTTTTGTATGCCTTTAAACACTTTTACTCTGCTAGTAAAGTTTGCTAGTTTGGTAGCGTATTCTATGTTTGCAATGTGGCTTACTATATTAAGAAATGGTTGTAGCAATCTAATTTTATAAGGAATCACTTATCCAATAAATTTGTCTTTGGTTAATATGTCTTTGTAGACAGCTAGGTGGTTAATTCTAGAGGAACTCAGCTTGCTATTTGAAATGTCAAAAATGAAATTCCAACTTTGATAAGAGTGCATGTTATTTCAGAATTGATAGCGCAAATATATATATATGTAAGCAATATTTTAAATAGGTGGGCAACTCGGAGGCCATTTACTTTACGTTTAAATTGTTGGTTTTACTTACAATTGCCCTCTGCAAAATTCCATTTGAACTGCTCATTCACTTTTTTTATGTTTTATTATCTTGTTTTTTTTTTCAATGCATGAACTTCATGGTTCAGCTTTTTGACACTTGGTTTTGATTGTGTTACAACACCTTTATAACCTAGACAGCTTTCACTTACTGTAGTCACTCAGTATGCCCCACAGTTATTATTCACACCTAAATGAATGTTCTTATTAGTGCCTTAATGAGCTGTTTAAAGCATTCTTCTTAATGATTTGACAAATGACTATATGTGTTGAGCCTTTGCACATATTTTCTAGTGTAATATTCGAATATGAAGCTTTCATTTGCTTTCTTATTTAGCTGGCAGCATGCTTGTGCTGTATAAGAACTGAAGTGGAAAGAACAAAGTTTCGTAAGTTGAAGTCCCCTCTTGCCTTTGTTACTTGTAATATGAGCACAGAGCAGTGAGGTAGAAGAGCCTCAAATAACCTGGGTGATTCCTAAACTTGATTTAATTCACTTTGTTTTCCTTAACTGCTAGCAGGTAGCTGTGGTACTGTGTGCTTTGTTGTACTTGAGCTTTTTTTTCTGTGGGGTGAGTGAATAGGAGCTTTTGTATTGGGAAGTGTCTGGAAGACAAACTTCATATTGTGTATACAGGCCTGTAACAATACAAACCATAAGGTGTGGAGGTAAAAGGTACTTTTACATTCAGAATAATTGATTGGAGTCTCTGAGTGGTTTTGTTTATCTAAGCTTGAGGTAGTGCCAGTTTTCCAGTGTTACAGATCAGGAAAAGTGAAGTTACCATGTTTTTGGTTTTGCTAAAAAACATCAGCAGAGGTTCCGCCATAATGGTAGTGAGATATGGCAAGCCTCAATTCAGGCAACACAAATATGATGGGCTAACTTAAGGAGAAGCTGTGTAAAAGCTTACTGACTTTTTCTTAATGTCAGCACTGGGAACCATTATGATACAATATTTGAATTGCTCACTGGTTAAATTAGACCACTTTTATTCAGTTGATTACAACGGGGAAAGTAGATCCAAATGGGTTTACCACCTTCCCTTAATATTCATTTACTAAATATTTCTTGTAACATTTTTTTGAAGGACTTTGCCATTGACATTTTGTAGATAAATGGAGACCATAAGTATCTGAACTACATTTCACTGGCCTGTCTTATGAAGACAGTGATCAAACATGGTTTGTGCTCCTTAGTTTATGCCCAGACAAAAAAAACAATTTTTTTTTTTGCAGAATTGAACACATTCACACACGCTTCGACAGCACTGAGCAAAAGCTGAGACCAAAGTCTTAGTTTCTGATTGGATATTTTATCAGAGTTACTTAAGTTGTCTTGCTGTATACTGTCAAGAATAAAAAAAAAGAATAAATGAACTGCCTTTACAGCTTCTTCCTATTAGACCAACACCAATTGGTTGTTTTTAAAGCTGAAGATATTTATATACATTTACAAGACTAAGATCCAATGTGTAAAGAATGGACGGATTATGAATATATACAGTGCTACCAAAAATAAACATTCTGAGATGATCAAGGTTTATTAGTTAAAAACTGAAGACAAACTGAAATCATCAAGGTTTAAGGGTCATATATGTTTTGTAGCATAAAAAAACCAAAACCCTAAAACTATTGGGACAACTTATCTGATTATGTAGTGAAGTGTGTATTGTTTGTTCTTTTTTAAATATTTTAAGAATATGCTGTCAGTTTCAGAAACTCACAGTTACATTGTTTCACAATTAAAAATAATGTCACATGATGCATGATGTTGTATCGGTTTTTTATGACATAAACATATTTAGTATACAAGTTTGTGCATGTCTGTGTTTGTGTTATAAAATTATGGTAACGTATACTTTAATACTGTAATTCACTGACTAATGACTGGCATGCCTAAAAAAATGCCACAAAAAAAATATAATGTCACCCTACTATAAAACAGTATGTTTAAATCCATAAATTCAGACAATGTAGCTGAATCAAAGAGTGCGCGTGTGCGTGTTTTTTTTTCTTTTAGATGGCATGCAGAGGAAGGATAGCTTGAATGCCAGTGTTGGTTGGCAGTGGCATTAGGATTGGCATGAGCCCCTCTTTGTTTAGCTCAGAAGGCCTGTGATTCGTTGGTTGGCATCCGCAATGCAGTGCAGAGCAATGCTTCAATATATTGACAATTTCCAGAAATAGCAAAGTCAATAATCTGTGTTCTTTAATGATTATCTGACGATTTATAATGCTCAGCAAATCCGATTTGATCAACTTTGTTATTACAGTTTGTCCATCCAATTCTTAAGATTTGTCGCTTCATAGACTTTTACCGCAAGAAGCATTTTTTGTGGTAAACATTGACAGAATATATTTCTATCACCAAATTCAGCATGTTTGGAGTTAAGCATTAATGCCAGTGTGTGCTGAGATTTTACAAGGGAGAAGTTAAGAAACTTTCTACTGATCTAAAATGCATACCGCTTTTCATGCATGCATACAATTAACAACCATAAAGATAAAATGTTCAGCACTTTATCTAGATATAATTCAGCATCTAATCACTGTAAGAAACAGACAGTTAAATTCTAGTATTTCTTTTTTAACTGGAAGTTTTTCTCCAGTTCATCCCTTAATATATTTATTCAGTGCTTTTTTTTTTCTCCTTCTGCTGTGGACTGTTTCATCAAGATCCGCCATTTTGTTTGTCAAGTGCCAAGAGTACAAAAAAAGACAGAGAATCTGCATGATGCCAATAATGGTTGCCACTGGCACCGAGGTTGGCATCAGCCCCTCTTTGTCTAGCTTCTGAATGCCTTTGATTCGTTGGTTGGCATCCGCATTGCAGTGGGCAAATTGTAAAGTTTTTGACAATCACAGAATGAAAGCTGCTTTACGTGCTTGTTTCAGGGAGAATCACTGCCTTGAATGCCTCTTTGTCTCTGTAGATGTATGTGTGTCTAATGTGTATGTACTTGTGTGCCTGTTTTTTGTGCATATATACAGGCATACATACATTACCTGTGTGTACAAGTGTGTATTTGTGTGTTAATATATTTTTATGTGTCCAATTAAAGATATTTCACACTGACTGTTAGCTAGAAGGATATATAGCACTTAGCCATATTACACCGAAAGCCAGAAATGTGTTTTCTGATAAGGAAAAAAGCCTTTGGTCTTGAATTTTTTGGTCCCTCCCACAGAAAAACAGCAAGGTCACAGAGATGTCTTCATATAAATGTACTTTAATGTATCCTGCAACATTCAGTGTGCAGAGGAATATCTTGGAAAATCACAATATAGTTATTCCATTACACGATATTCTGTAATAGAAAGTTTGTGTACACCGCTAATTTTGTAGAAGCTATATTAATGTTGCCTGCTTATAACTTTTTGATTTAGTATTTTTAATTGTTAGATATTAGAATGTAGCATGGTGCAGATCTCATTTAGAGATATTTTTCATACTTTTTTGGGTTTTAGTTTTTTATTTATTTATACTCAGATTTTTCACTGTAGTTATGTAAAACTGCAGGTAGTAATATCTTCATGTTAGGAATGACTACCGTTATAAAAATGCCATAAACATTGTATGGTTTTCAAGAAGACTGAATAGCAAATAGGATGGTCTACATAATGTCTCAGGCACCTAAAAATTGAAGAGGGTCACTTCATTAGTTTCGATATATGTGGATATGCCCTTTGTAATTATAAAGTATTCAAATACTGTAGGCATTTCTTGTTTTTACTCATTGGTAGAATGGCAGGATTGATGGACATGTCTAGTCAATATTACCAACATTTACATTAAAGACCTTTAGAGATAATATTCAGCTAGATCCATATGATAAATTAGGTTGGTTATATGCCCAGAGTTGGTGTTGATGAACATGTAAAAGATGGGGAGAGGCCTGCAAAATATTTTTGTTACTAAACAAATGTGAATTGAATGTTTTGTTTACTGGAAATGACTTGGGCATCATAAAATGTTTTAGCTGAAATGATTTGTAACATTAAAGTAGTAGAGGGAAAAAAAAAAAGTTTATTGCTCTATATTTTTTGAATCAGTTTTAACTGACAAGAATCCCCAGGTTCTGCTTTATTCTTTGGAAGAAGGAATAAACAAATAATTCATTTTCCCTTTGCTTATCTTCTTTATCTCATGTGTGTATTTTGCAGCATGTTAGATCTGAAAGGAACATTATGTGTAGTCAAACAACACTACACAGGGTCCAGATGGTGACAGTAGGTGAGGATCTCAGCTCTCAGGAGGGATTTGTGA